TTCGACGAACGGGAACCAGCTTAGAATCTTGGAAAGCAACAAAAACAACGATGATTGTGATTGGTTCATTTATGATATGTTCAACACCATATTTTGTAGTTATATTATTAAGATCGTTTTGTGTTCATGTGTATAAAAATGTACACAAGTTTGTTTGGTTTCCGTTAGTTTTTATTAGTCCATCACTAAATCCTATAATCTACTCTGCCAGAAGACAACAGTTTAAGGACGCTGCAAAGTATATGGTAAGGAGATTAAGAACAGGATGGTCAGGCATAATAAATAAATAATTTTAGAGTAAATAGAAATTTTAGTCAGGCTGCTCACTCTTAAATCGGTGGTTTTAAAGTAAAATATAAATTAGTCCGCTCAATAGAGCATGTTCAGACACAACATATCGAAATAAATTTATTATTTTACTAAATGTACTTTTGTGCATGGCAGCTCTAAATTTTATAAAATAAAAATCTTTGTATAGTTATTTTAATATTGTATCATTCTTTTATTTGCTTTTCCTTTACCCCGTTTCATGCTTTTACTAATCATCGCCTTTTCGTTCTTTTTCTTTTCTCTTTCCCTTTAGTTTTCCTTTTTTTTCCTTTTTATTTCGAATCTTCACTCATTTTCCGAAATATAGTTCTACTATTAACATCGTTTATTATGATTATTGTTTTTGTTGTCATATACATTTGTTGTTTTTGTAGTTAGGACTAATTATTTTAATACACAAATTTAACAGATTTGGTAACATACCGTATAAGTCCTACCAAAACTGCCAACTTTCGCCTGTCATCTTGTTTCAAGACTTGATGTACGTCTACTGTGGATTTCACATCTATTACGTAAAGTAACATAATTACTGTCGTTTACATTATATTATATATTGATTTTTGTTATTAGTTGGAAAGTTACTGACATTGTCTGCATTAAGGCCCTATCTGTACTGACAATTGAGAATTACTCGTTTAGAAATTATAACGAGCGCATCAAAATTAAAAAAACTGACGAAAATCGATTTGAAGATTTGAAGAATACTAAACTTACGCCATGAATTGCTAATCGGAGGACTTTTTCCTAAAATGGAGTTCAATAATACAATTTCAGAGGTAGAACCGGAGATAGGCCTATATAAAAGTTACCTGCTGGTTAGAGTAGCAGTGTATTTTATGGCAACTTTTTCTTTTATCGGAAATATGTTCGTGATTGTTGTCATCGTGAACACGCCTTCTCTTCATAACTGTAGCAATTTCCTTACTGGCAGTTTAGCTGTGGTTGATTTCATTTCAGGCCTTGTATTGTTACTTTTGGAGGTTAAAGGCAAATGGAGAGACGGTACACCCATATACCTTAGTGAAGTATCAATACTCCATCTCCTAGCAATTTCAGTGGACAAACACGCATTAATAACTCGACCATTTTCTTATCAGAACACGAGTAAAAGTAATTTGTTCATATTCATTTTTCTTGCTTGGACGATTCCGTTAATCATTTGGATGAATCAGCATTACTCATCCGGTACAGATATTGTAGTTTTTACATGCAGCGATAAAGTTGCCAAAGTGACTTTAATTACAATATTTTACCAATTGGTTTATTGGATAAGCAACGTTTTAATTTTTGCTGTGAATTTTAAAATATATATCACAGCTCGAAAGCAGTCACGACAAATAAACGCTGTCACCATTGGACAAGCTGGAACAAGAACCAGTTCAGCATCTTGGAAAGCAACAAAAACAACGATGATTGTGATTGGTTCATTTATGATATGTTCAACGCCATATTTTATTGTCAATATAGTGAGATTGTTTTGTGTTCATCGGTTTAACGGTCTACTAACATTTATGTGGTTCCCGTTGGTATGTATCAGTCCGGCATTAAATCCTATAATATATTCTGTCAGAAGACAAGAGTTTAAAAAAGCTGCAAAAGATGCGATGAGTTTATTTTGGTCACGATTAAATCAATGATGAGGAGTAAAATTTGGTTATCTCGTTAAATTATGGAGGTGCAGTTGTAAAATCTCTGTTACAAATATGTAGTAGGCCTATGATTAAAGAGAAACGAACGGGGTCCAGGGTGGGCTTCTCCACTGAACATCTCCAAAAACCTCACGGATTTCAAATCTATAAAGTGAGAAAATATGGATCTTGTTTAAATATGCATTGTGCATTGAAAATGACAAAAAACCATCAAAATAATTTTGAAATCAACTTGCCCATTTTACAGTAACATACAAATTATTAACTTGAGCATAGAAATTATTGAATTTAAAAATTGTTTACCCTGCTCTTTATACTGTATAATGATAGTACAAATAATAAAACATTTCTAGTGACTGGAAGTGTTTCTATAATTTTTCGCTCAAAATAATGGTAATTTTTTTAAATACACTAATTTCTATTAACAAGTTGATAATTGTTATGTTACTTCAAAATGAGCAAGTTGATCAAATATGATTTCTATAATTTATTTATTCATTTATTTATTTATTTTGGTATTTGCATATGTAGTATGTTAAATGAACATCTCTGGTTAAAAGCTGTCATTACTTTTCAGAATATATTGATTTATGTTCAAAAGTTT